ATTGCATGGATATGAAATTACCACGTGGTATGCCATCACTCGGTGCACAGTGGATGGCACTTGTCAGGGCCCCTTCTTCCATGTTTTCCTTTGGCCGGGAATTCATTGGAGCTGTGGGACATGTGACACCTCCCTATTCACAAAGGAGGGGAGCCATAGTCCGAGCTTGAGCTCTATATCTTTGGCCGGATATATCTCTAGTATCGGTGAGCTTGGAATAATTTAGTAAAATGGATTAGTTCCTATCGGACTATGTGTTAGCCTATGGCTCCAGTCAGCGGTATAAGGGTGGACGGTGATATAAGGGAGGTAGCATATTGCATTATTTTTTGGATATATTAGAAAAATGATATTGGTATATTGTTGGGAAAAAAAATGAAATTGAATTGGATGTCTCAAATCCGTGATTTTTAATACATTTATATACACACATATAAACAGATTTTTGGTTTATCATATATGATTTACTTGTATAGGTTAGAATTTCAGTAGTTACTGAGACGTTAGATCTCACCCCCTATATTAACAATTTTCAGGCGAAGGATCTAGTAGGAATCAAGGGAAGGCACCAATGGAGTGAGCCGTGAAGGCTTTTGTGCTCCTCAAGCACATGCTATGTTATATTTTTATTTGCCATGACTATAAGACTTTAATAGTTTATGTTGTTAAGTTATGTTAGAAATGTGTTGAAATTTTGACTTATTTGCAGTATTAAAAATATGTATGGACTTTTAAATTAAATATTTTATCGAGTATATTGGTATAATTATGTGAGGTGTTCCACTGAAAGCTGTTTCTTTTTTTTTTTTAATAAATTTAATAATAATAAAATATTATTTTATTTAATTTAATAAATATTTTTTTAAATATATTTTTTTTTAATATTTTTTTTTGTATGTTACATTTTCTGCTAAAATTACAATTTGCACATGTCTGACAGCACCCACTTCTGATAAACACGAAATGACAAGTTCATAATGGAAAATGACAAGTTAAGTATGGCAAGTGACAAATTCCCATAATGTTTTCATACATTCTCATACTTTTTCTGGTGGGATTATAATTTGCACATTGCTGATAGCAATTACTTTTGATAAACAATAAATGACAAGTCCACAATAGCACATGACAAATTAAGTATGTAAAATGACAAGTTCCCATCACGTTTTCATACAAATGTAAATTTCTCTACTGAAATAACAATGTTCAGATTTCTGACAGCAACCACTTCTGATTAATATCTTTCATCATCAACTTCACCTCTCATTTCCTCCTAATGTATAAAACTATAGCACCAGAACTCTCATAAGCCCCTCAAGAAGCATGCTCATATCAACACCAGTGGCAAATGCACTACGATGATCATATCCACTCACAAGTGCATCCTCAACCATGAAATCCCAAATATAAATTGCCATATCATATGAACAAGAAACCATCAAATTCTACATATAAAGCGAGAACTTTATTCGTTTAGCACTGTATTTAGGGCTCGTTTGTTCCTCACATGCCACACCTTGATTGATTTTTCCACCGAAATACAATCATCATACTTGATTTTCACAATTTAGAGCTTGTTTGCAATTATCAGAAGTGGGTGCTGTCAGACATGTGCAAATTGTAATTTTAGCAGAAAAAGTATGAAAATGTATGAAAACATTGTGGGAACTTGCCATTTGCTATACTTAACTTGTCATTTTTCATTCTGAACTTGTCATTTCGTATTTATCAGAAGTTGTTGCTGTCAGAAATGTGCAAATTGTAATTCCAGCAAAAAAAAGCATAAAAATCTTATGAAAACTTGTCATTTTCTATTATAAACCTGTCATTTGATAAATTAATGTGGAAATCCAGTCATTTTAACAGGAAAAAGTATGAAAACCTACTGGGAACCTGTCATTTTAACACAGAAACTCAAATTTCTATGAATTGCTTATCAGAAGTTGTCATTCGCCTTACTAAACTTGTCATTCGCCTTACTGAACTTGTCATGAATTGTGTATCAGAACTTGTCATCTGCTAAAGAAATATGAAAATGCTGTCATTTTAACAGAGAAACTCGAATTTCTATGAATTGCTTATCAGAAGTTGTTATTCGCCTTGCTAAACTTGTTATTCGCATTACTGAACTTGTTGTGAACTGGGTATCAGAATTTGTCAACTTGTTATTTTCAACAACTTATCAAACTCGTTATTTTCAATTACGAACACAAGCTGAAAATCAAAATAGAAATGAAGAATAAAAATCCAGATTTATTGGGCATTGTCTCAGCACCAAGCAATCACCGCACACATTGCAAGCAAACATTACAAGCATTACAAATGACTGTCACTCGCCCTCAAACTCCCGACTCTCCTCTCCTTCCACAGCAACAGAGAGAATGATGGAAGAGGCTTCATTGTTGACGAAAGAGCAGGTAAGCAAGATAAGAAGAAAGTGACGGGAATGACAATGAGGAGAGGACCACCGAAAGACATTGGGAGTTCCATATACTTTGGGAAAAGAGTGAGGAGAGGAAGGAAACTTGGAGAGGAAAGAGAGAACGAAGAGAGAGAGGAAAATGAGGAGGCAAGGTCGGGAAGAAGATGATCTGGAGAGGAAGAAAGAGAGAAAAGCAGAGGGCATTTTGGACATTCTACCATCATTTCATATTTGCAATTTGAGACCGGGTCCTTTGAAGCTATTTTCCAAATTCAGGGTCCCTGATAGCTATTTTATATATTGGAGGGTCTTTATTTGCAATTTTCCCTTTTATTTATGATACATCCAACACCCTAATTTTTTTTTTTATGTATTCAGCATTTTAATCTTATTTATAATGCATTTGGCACCTTAAAGATTAGGGTACTGGATGATACTAAAAAATGATATTGGGTTGCTAGATACCCTAATAAAATAAAATTATGGGGCTAGATGTAACATAAATAAGATTATGGAATATATAGGAAGTTTGTATTCATTATACTCTGAATTTGAATTCAGAAAATTTAAAATAAAATTGGAGATTTTGGTGCATGTTGGGTTGAAACATTAGGGATATTGATCAAAGAGAAAAAAATCAAAGGTTCTACGATTTGGTAAATGGCAATAAAGACGGTAGAGATTTCATCATGGTTTTCAATACACAACTACTGGTTTTCAGAGTTGAGATTAAAGATGGTTACTATGTACTATGGAATCACGGTTAAAAAAAAGGGTCAAAAATACTTTGCTGAGCTATTTTATGATTTAACGGAAAGCTACAATACACTAGGGAATCACCGTAAAAAGTCAGATTTTAAAAGGGTTTAGAAATTTTCATTTGATATTTAACGGAAATTAAAGTTTAAGGCAGTGTTATATTGAAGGAGAATGAACTTCAATCTTCATAAGGAGTTCAACTTTTGAACCCCGTGATACATGACCCAAGGTAAAATTGATCTGGAATATAGGTACTCAAATGTTGATTTGGCAAAAACAAATGATAAGAATGTGAAGCAAATGAATAGACAAATTTATTTTGGAATTTGGGAGAGGTTTAAAGGTAAAAAAAAAAAAGCAAGTTTAAAGGTTCTATTTTCTTACTTGCCATTGGGACAAGAAGGTTCTGCCCTCCACTATTCAAGATGGAAATCAAACTTTAGACTATTAAAACCAAGTTGGTATGGAATAGGACCATTGGGGTTTGAAGAGTGAGTGCTTTAGAAGCAGCACATTAACCTATATAAAAGCGTTATTTGTCATAAATATAAAAATCAGATAATTAACAGGTAGAAATTAAAAAAAATAAAGTTACTTATTTATAAAAAAATGTGTTAATTTTTTTAAGTATTCTCTTTAATAATTTATATTGAATAACACTCTTTAATAAAAAATGTCCTTTATATATGCAATTAATAGGGAGGGGTTTAAAAAGAGAACTTCAATTGACAGAATGTATTTGAACAAACCCTTTTAATAATAACTATTATATTTAAAATTGAAAAATAGTATATTATTTATGTTTGTTTTTAAATGGAGTTAGCACGCTTCAGATTGAAGTGACCAAACACTTTTAAATATATTAATTATCTCGTAGTCCCTTTGATTATATCCCAATCACCGCATGAGTTGATTATCTAAACAAGCCATGAAATGCATAAGAACATGATTAGCAAATAAAAAACAATTTTCTGGGGTACAAAAATAGAAAACAATTAATTTTTTAATCAGGCATAGAAGTTAAATGGGCCACATCTCTTTTGGTTTGAACTTGAGACTTTGATTGATGAATCCATAATGCTCCCCAATCAAGCCTAAGGTTCAAATGGCAAATGGGCGAGATCATTTATTGCACCACCAATTTTATATTCTATATTGAATGTTGATTGATCTTGATATGACAATGTTTATAGGTTAAGGATAAATTTGTTTTGTAAATTTTCACCAAAAAGCAATGTTATCCCATCTTGTTAAAAAAAAATAATATTGATTGTTAAAAAATTTATATTGACCTTTAATATTTTTAATAGCAAAAGGTAAAATCGGGGCAATTTTTAACCCAAAAAGATTTCAAAGCAATATTGAGTAAAAACTTTCATGACAAATTTACACATGAACTTTGATTAAGCTATTTTTTAAAATTAAATTATATCTTTATGCCTTGTAATTATATGACTACTCATTGATTTTGTTATATATATATTGATATATAAATATAAAATTAAATATCATTTATATGTGCGTAACATAAGATTTAAAAAGAATTACAATCAAATTCTAAAAAAAAATATAATTAAAAAAAAAATAAAAAATTGTTACTTTTTTTTTTTAAATTTTTTATTACATGCTGTTTAGATTGTTATTGTAGCTTTTTAATAAAATTCTTTTTTGAGACTTTGGTTATAATTCTTCCTAAAATTCATGGAAAATTGGTTATCACTTGCCATATTGTTCATAAATTAGTTTGAGAGTATATATGGCGCGAGATTCAAACCGCATATCCATAGCCCAGAACTGTGATCGCGCTCTCGTCTCAGCAATGGCGCTTCCCTCCACATTCCACGAACGACTTCAAGACATGGAGAACACTAGAAACCAGCGTCTGTCTCTGCTTCAGGTTCATTTCAATCCCTAATTTTTATATTCTCACCAAAAAAATAAACAAGGTATGTGTAGAATCTTCATGATTTTTCTGTAGTACCTCCCCAGGTGAACTATGTGAAATCCTTTTCTCTTGGTTGCCGAGAAAATCAACCGAGAGAACGAGAACGTAGATTGATTATCTCACATTTGTCCCCTTTTCGCCTAGAGTTGGGCATAGATTTAAGTTTTCCGGCGTGAGTTTTGGATTCATTTCGTTATATGTGCAGTAATCGTGGTTTCTATTCATTATCGAAGAGGAAAGAACTTACAGATACCGTAGTTATGCGTCATTAGACATTTTGAAGAAAAATTTCACCGGCTTTTTAGTTTTACGAGGGAGAATTTTTGAAAAGTTTTGCGTGAATTTAATCAAGGAAGACAGACAAGCAAAATTCCAGGACTATGGAAACTTATAGTAAGTAAATTTGTTTGCAGGCTGAGAAAGAGTTGCAGGCCAGGAAGTCACAGGTTCTTGCTTCAAGACTAGCAAATATCAGGTCCATGGAGCAGAGGTGCTTCCTGCTCGATAATAAAGTATCATTGAGGAAATATAAGATTCTGGCTCTCAAGTCCGAAATTGAGAACCTTGAAGGGAAATTGGAAACTGGAGCTTTTGAGATGAGGTGAATTAAATAGCATTGATGTGTGATTCTTTTGTCTCAGTATAATTATTTGATTAGAATTATATTTTAGGTCTTTGCAGAGTGAAATAGAGGAGCTCGAGGAATTGGAGAGGAACAAAGATAGCTTTTATGAAACGAAGAGAATAGAAATGAAGGAATTCAAGGACAATGCGGGGAGATTTGTGGTGGAATGTCGAACAGAAGTTGAGAATTTGAGACAGAGAGTAAATGAGGTAAATGGAAATCACCACTTTAGAAAAAGTTAGTGCTACCATTCCTGACAGTTTATTGAACTGTGCTCAAGTAAGCCATCATTAGTCTATAAATAGCTCACCATGCATGTAGGATAATGAAATTTGACTTCGATTCTAATTCCCACAGAGCAATTCATGCTTTTCATCTGGAAATGCTTTCAAGCTACAACACATGGCTTCAACTTAGATGTCGAGTCCTTGACCAATAATTTAAATAAAACTGGATATTCATTTTGCATGTAGAACTGGAAGTAGGGGAGAATATGGGTGCTGTGTCATGCACAAGTTCAAGGTGTATTGTTTGATGCAAACTATTATGCTGCACTTGTACATCAGCTAGCTCCTTCATAAAATAAAATTCACCGACCTCTGGCATCCAAAACTTGCTTATTTTCTCTTTTTTTCAACCACTCAAGAGAGTGTTTCTCTGCGAAATCTGACTGTCTTCCTTACAGATGGCTGCAAATTTTAAGATAACTCTAATGTTAGTTTCATACGTGTGTATGTAGTGGCGTCTCAGTTATGTCATGTCTATGTGCAGAATTGAAGTTATCTTAAATTTCTGAGACCCAAAGCTAAAAATTACTCTCGTTCAGTGAATTGAACAATTATTTTTCTAACCTCAGAAAAAAATGAAAATTTCCTACTCCATGAAACTAATGTGGAGGCTACATAACACACCTAAAGACTGCAACATAAGCATTCTGTGGATCCTTGACTAATTGTCTTTTTTATTTTTAATTTTCCTTTGCTTAGTTTTTGTTTTTCTTAACCCTCACCTAGGATTTTACGAGGATAACATGAATTTTCAAATGACGGCATGCTTTTTGTGATCTCAATTTAGCTGAAATTCGGGCTTTCTGACCTTGATCTAGACAAAAATTGGTTTTGAACTGCCCAGTCTGCGATATAGATTCTTTTCCACTGTGGATGTCCTACCTTATATATCCTTCTACAAGCAGTCATCAGATTTTGTTTCTCCCCCATTACATAGACTGAACTTTTGCTGCATGAAATAGTAAGTTTTGTACTGCTGACTCTGTTATAGTTTCATTTAAACATCTAGACTGAATCATGTTGGGGATCACCTTTCCTACAGAGCATCTTCCATGCTTGAAATGTGGTCTTATGCAACCAAGCTTAAAGTTGTTCAAGCTAAACCAGAGAGAGTCCCTCTTTTTCAATCAAAATTTTCATGAGATGAGCAACAATGTGAGAATCGAGAGAGTTAATATGGTGATTCACTGGGTTCCCCTCTTAAGGTTAATGTTTACCCCATTAAGCTTCTCATGTCACTTACTTTTCAGCTGAGGTCATCTTTCTTGGAACTTAAGAGGAACAACAGAAATTCATGTGATTCTGAGATAACTGCTGCTGAAATGAGAAAGTCAGAACTCGTAGCTGCAAAGGAAAATTTGGATAGGAGATTGGCTTCTAATTACCAGATCAAAGCACAGCTCCAAAAACAGCTTCAGAACATTCTGGTGACCCAAGCTCAAGAGAGAAGCAAACCATCTCAGCCTATTGGTGGTCGGAAGGCAAGTCAATAAACAAAATTTTGATCGAGGCTTGCAAAGCAATGACTATTGCTTAAAAATATATTTGAAATTTGAGACACGAAGACCAAAATTAAAAAAAAATTGATCATTCAAAAATTATATTAACTCTAAAGTTTAAATTCAATATATATGTACACATAGCGAAACAGAAGTATCTTTTTTTCAAATAGGAGTATTCTTTGTCAGCAGTAGAAAGTAGAAACCAATCTATCTTAAAATACGTAAGATAAATTATAGATTTATTACACATGTAATTTCATTAAATTAATAGTAACAATTATAAGAATAAGGTAAATACAGATTATAACAAGACATAATGCCTTAAATTCTGAATATATTATCAAAATTGTTCGAGGAATCATTGAATTGAACAAGTGTAACTAACCAAATTTAAACAATTTTTAAGAAATAAGCCTTTTTATTGATATACTAATATATATTATAAAATATGTAACAAAGATTTTTATAAATTATGATTATGATTAGTGAAACTTACTTTTTAAACTGGATAATTACAAAAGTTTTAGTTCCAAAAAAAGAAAAAAGAAAAATAACAACAACAAAAAGAAGTTGAAAATTACTATATCTCAAATTAAATTTTATTTAGTATTGACAATATTAAATTTGCAAATAATAATAAATTTTGACATTTATTAATTTTTAATTTCTTTTTTTTTGTTATTATCTCAAAAAAAAAACGATATAAAAATAGAAGTTTTGTTGGGCCTAGCAAAATAGATGCCCAATATTCTAGTGATTCCACCAATCTTATTTACCAACCAGTTACAGGCCTGTAAGGTAAGAGCAAGTCCACCCAATTACAACGACCCATTGACACGTGTTTCATCCCTGTTGACCAACATTACAAGGAACGAATATGTTTCCTAACCCTTCATTTCCTCTCTAGAATCTTCCATGTTAAGCAGAGAAAAAAGCAGAAAACCCTAATAAAGGAGTTCTGCAATTCCCATTTTGTCCCTTTTTCGATTACTTACTCATGTCTATTAGGAGCTTCTAGCTTTTTCCACTTTCACACTCTGTATAAAAGCGTCTTCAAATCAGCATCACCGTGCTTCGCACTACGTTTGTTCAGCTTCTTCGCGTTCGTCTTCTCTGCTTCCTTAGCTAGACCGATGGCTGAAGATTTGGCTTTGGATTTGGAAGAACTTCGTCACTTGCAGAGCATGGCAAAGCGACCTCGAAGCATCTCTCTCCTCTCCTCCGAAATTAACAACCTGGAAAAGGTATTTTTTGTTTTTTAAGATAGAAATTTATCATTCGATTTTGATTTTCGATTTTTTTTGTTAATAATTTGATTTTGCTATGGAGAGTATTCGAGTAATAGCGTGTGCTGGTGAGAAATGATTGTCATTCTTAGAAAGGGAAAAAATCTGACAGATAAAATTTTTCCATCATTTATTAGTTGTTAGCCAGTTCGGAATTATGATAGTAAATTATTGGTATTGGTACACAAATCAAAACTCGGCATGTGGTTTTTCTGTTCGTGTTAAGTTTCACTCTCTTAATAATCATTCGTTACATTTCACTCTCTTAATCCGAAGTTGTGAGAAACAGTTTGCAAATGATAGATTTGTCAAGCCATAAAGACTCAAGAATTGGAAGTGATCTTACTGGTCTTTCAAATACTCATTACGTTTCAGTATGCCAAAAAATCCGTTGCTGTTCTATTAGCCATACCAAGAAGGGCTTTGATTTTGTCAACAAGTTCGCCTTTCATCACATTCTGATTCATTCTGCACTCACTTTGTACTTGTTGCGCAATAGAAATGAGATTATAAAAATGCTTTGAGATCTGAAGTTGGCCACGATCCTGCTTGATGATCTGCAAGTAGTGCTATTCCATTTTCCTCATTATTTATTAAAAAGCCCTTTTGGATGCTCATAATTCAGCACTGAGGAGATCTTTCCTGCAATTCAAATTGATGGAATGGGAAGGACTAAACTTATGCATAGTTGTGCTTACTCTCTTTAACAATTACAGTTCTTGTGGCGTTTTTCATGTAGACAGTAATTGTTTGAATTTCTTGATAAGCGCTTCCGATAATCAGACTAGTAGGGCTTAAGGGTAGTAATTGATGCATGTGAAAGTGTTCTGGAGTTTTAGTTCCTGGTTAAATTTTTGCGTGTGGTGCCTCGTGTTAAGTTTTGTTGATTTAATTTGCAGTTATCAAAGGAGACGCCTGCACCTCCACCACAGATTCCAGCTCCAATTTCAACTGGAACTAAGGTGCCATCTATTCCAGCCCTCAAGTATGCAACACTTAGTTCATTCAGTTGGGATCAAGATAATGAGAAACTCAAGGTAAGAACAAATAATACTTATTTTTTTATTATTATTATTAATCTAGCCACCTGAATTATAATGATATTAGGAGCCTTTCTCCAGATCAGTATTCTCATGAGAGGACATTTATTTATTTGGCATTAATGAGCAATAACATTAACATTTTAGTTGGATCTCATTGAATTTTTTGATTTGAAGTAGATTAGTGGTTATGAAAGTTGTAAATTCTTTGTTGCGGCTACTATGTGGTTAAGATATTATAATCTTCTCTTTCCTTGACGTTTAAGTTTTCTTTCTTTTGTCTAATCTCCTGCTGCAGATATATGTATCTCTAGAAGGAGTTGAGGAGAATAAGATCGAGACTGAGTTCAAACCAATGTCCGTTGATGTCAAATTCCATGATATCCAGGGCAAGAACTACCGATGTGCTATACCAAAACTGCACGGTGAGATAGTACCTGAGAAATGCAAGGTGTTGGTCAAGCCGACAAGGGTGATCATCACATTGGTCAAGGCTTCCAAAGGAAACTGGCCAGATCTTCACTTCAAAGAAGACAAGGTAGTGAAACGTTGTGAGTGAGATGATGGTTCTTTTCCCTCTGCTATATGTTAGGCTGATTATTTTTATTTTTATTTTCCAATGCTACAGATGAAACCTAATTTGGATAAAGAGAAAGACCCTATGGCTGGAATCATGGACTTAATGAAGGTCAGATTTGTCTCTAGTCTGCTGAGGATGTTGTGGTTAATTCTTATTTCAGTGATATTAATGAGATTTACTTTTTAAAGAGGACTTCTTTTCTCACCGTTACTGTTTGATGCAAAATTAGAGTATCTAAAAACGAGATGTGAATTTGTTAGAACGCTTCTCTAAAGATGTTCAATATTTTTGAGCATTGCAGAATATGTATGAGGAAGGAGATGAGGAAATGAAGAGAACAATTGCAAAAGCATGGAGTGATGCTAGATCTGGAAAAACGGCTGATCCTCTAAAGGGTTACAAGTGAGAGAGATAAGATGGATTTAATTATTTCTTATGTATTTCTCATTTTTTAGAGTATGGGTTGATTTCCTTGATTTGAGTCGTATACTGGGTGGCGAGAATGAGGAAAAGAGCCGTATGTTATATTTGGATTACTGGGCTTAATTCGATGGCATCTGTTGTAGGTGGAATGTTAAACTACTGTTTCTAAGTTCGATGTTGGGGGAGAGTATCTCTCTGTTTTGCTCTCTCGCTCGTTCTTTGATTATTTGGATACTTAGGGTTCATTTACAGGCCTTAGCTGCGAGCAATTCATCTTTGAAAATGTTGCACATGCCTCAGAATGGTTGCACTCAACATAAAATGAGTGTGTTACTGTTAACCTTAGATATATATTAATTTAAAAATTGTAGTATATATTAGGTCCTTTAAGTTTATCTCAACTTTTAGTTGTCTCTTGAAATTTAGGGCCCAACAACTTATAAGCTACTTATAAATTGTTTTTTAAGAGTGATTTATAAAATACGAGACAAGTATATGAGGATTGTTTTTAATAGTGATTTATGAAACATGTTTATGGAGGGTTTTAATGGGGCGTAGTCTCTTAATTTTAACGTTTCCAACACTTAGTTTAATTTAATAAAAATTATTTAAATAGCAAATCTGTAATTAAATGCTTTGTAAATTTAAGTAGTAAATTCGCATATGCTTTAAATTTTAATTTTTTAAGTATTCAGAAAAGTGTATATGTATACACACACATGATAAGATATTAGAAATACTAGAATATTAAAAGTTTAAGCATACGTAAAGATGCATCTTTAAAGTGGCAATAAACTAAAATTTAACACAAATTTTTTACCTTAAAAATTTGACAAATTTAAAAATTCAAAATCTACACTTAAAACAATTTAAATATTTTTTAAAGTACGTGACATAACGTGCTATAAGGATTATTTTTTTGTCAGGCGTATCATAAGGATGTGCATGAAACATAAGAAGCAACTTTTTTTTGGTGTCTATTTTCAAAGGAAAAAGTAACGTCTTCCCTTTCGATGCTCATTATTTTGATATAAGATGTTTTCAAGTACTCAATATATCTGATACCGTGTGTCTTGGTAAAAGCGTGATACAAATAGTTGAATGACAAAAAAAAAAAACAGTTATGAAAGCTACTTAAGTTTGATAATACTAATCAGATACCAAATAGTTGAAAAGAAAAGCAAGGTGCGGGTGTTACAAATAAAAGTATGCAGCTAAACATGCAACTAATGCCTTCAATTTTTATTATTTTTTTCTCCAGAAAAACCATGACATTCTGCATGACTTCTTTTTTCTCACCTTTGTGCTCCTTCGTCAAACGCCAGAATTAGTGCACTTCTCAGTTTTCACGGGGGTGCATGTATTGGCAAATTCAAGATATGACAGCAATAAATTTACGTAGTCTAACTCAAGGAAACTTGCGTCGTGTGGTAAGAACGCGTAATACGATCGGAAAAGCTACCAACTTACCGAAGCTACATGTTGACATGTTGTCAATGCAGAATTTGACTACCGTAATCATCATTGAACTTTTCATATCTGGAAGCAAGCAGATGAGCAGATGGCCGTGTGTTCTTCAAAGCTACCTTTATGTCTTCTGGTTTGACTGGCCCCACTTTTGGCAACTCTGCATTTTTTACATTCGATGTTAGTATATGGCCAGTGAAAATAAATCACAAGTACTGAATGTTCAAGCCAAATAGCTAACACATCCTCCCGTGTGGATGGATCATATTTGAGAAACCAACTCCAACAAACTTTGCTCAGCAAATACTGCTATCAATTTATTGATGCAAATTTCTTTTTCCGAACATGACGTTAATTAGATTTAGAGTATATAAACGACATGAATAGAGAGCAGCAGCTTGATAATCATCAAAATTTCACGAATTAGTCAAATACTGCTATAAATCCATTGATGCAAATTTCTTTTCCCGAATATAACATTAATTAGATTTATTTAGAGTATATAAACAACATGAATAAGGAGCAGCAGCTTGATAATCATCAAAATTTCACGAATGAATCTATCTAATTAGAGATTTGTGACGACTACGATGCTAAAAAAAACAGATTAAAACGGTGTTTTAGAAGACATGTTATAGTTGATTTTATTTTCTGTGACGAAAAATATGAAGAGACCACCCCCCCCCCAAAAAAAAAAAGCATTCAAGAACAGCATTTAAAAAAGAGAGAACTGTTTCCAGAAACACATACCACACAGTAATGATGGATCTTTTCCCAGATAAACTTAAATTTCAAATGAATGAAAGGGTTTGCAGATTATCAAGAGTTGACAAGTGAAATCGTTAACACATAAACAGTCACTGATCATTACTAAATTTAACCAAACATTGTACGACCTTATGTATAGTTATGGTGTGGACAAGTTTTAGCAAATAATCGCATGGAAGCTAAATTTTGAAGGTTGCATACCTTCTTCAGGCACCAGCTCTTGTCTCTGTTCAAGTTGTGACATCAAGCGTCTCAAGGGCTGCATTGCTGCCTCTTTACACAGTAAACGAATATCTGAGCCTGAATATCCTTCTGTTTGCTCCACCAAGAAATCATAGGGGACCTGCTCCTCACTATCATATGGTGGAAGAAGTTCCTCAACCATTGCTCTTCTTGCTTCTGGTTCTGGAAGTGGTACAAGGATCTTTGATCATTGTCAAGGGACAACCTTTGGAGTAGAATCACCAGAACTTTTAGTCCCAAGATTGATTGTAATTTGACGTCATACATATATGTGTGTGCATGAAATAAACTAGATTTACTCCCTCCATCGCCAGCATAAATGAACTGCCGTGAAGTCTTCAACACTACACTAAACAATAAAATTGGCAGTATATCGATGATATCTTACAATATGAACCAAAAGAATATCTCTGATATCTTGCAAATTGAACCAAAACAACAATAGATTGCTGTATGTTTGAAATATCTCAACTTAGTCAAATATAAGCCCAATAGATCTCAAGAATCCTGAGAGTTGAAACACAAATGGAAACTTAAACTGCAGGTGACATTTCCCATTATTTTGATATGGAATAACTATGTAACCTAGTTATAATGCCATTTTCATTAGTGGGAAAAAAAGAAAATATATTCAAATTACAAAGTCTGAAAAACATGAGCTCATGGAAAATGCCCCAGTGGTTATTTCATGCTCCAGAAAACTGATATACAATATTTCTTTAAACTTCCTTCCCCACGATCAGTTTCCTGACCTATAGTTTAAAAGATCAGAGGCAGCACAAGAATGATTGAACCTTTTTTGAACTGCCGTACATTAGACTTGATCATGGGATAGGCTTTTGAAGAAACCAACCAGGCTTTTGTAACGCTTACTTTAAAAATACGACGGGGGTATGCAGGAATAAATGTATTGTGTATAATTACAAGGATATGACTGTTAGTGCTAGGTTTGTCTGTGTTCCATGAGTAATGTAATTATTTCTGTTACATAGTATGTCGCATGTAGATGAAAACCCAAAAAGCAATTATATATTGGAAGGATACTCGCTTCTCAAGACGTCGGAGCATTGCTGCATCCAATTCCCAGGGAAGATTTGTTGCCGCCAAAACAAAAACAAGCTCATTGGTTTTTGTCAAACCGTCCATCTGAAGTCCAGCAGAATATTATCAGGCAATGACTAAGTCCCAAGGTGACTAAAAGTCCTAAGAATTACTCAGAAATTGTTGCAGGTACATTATTCATACGCCTGTATGTGACAATAAGAAAAGGGGTGCTAAAGCAGGACAAAGAAATCATGAAACAACTTTTATGGGTGCGAAAATGTTATTTCTTGGATTGTTGAGAATTTACGTGATGAATAAATTGTAATCATTACATTATTGGTAAATCTCATAAATGCTTTTTGAAAAACAAACAAATAATAATATGTAACTCCTAACTTTCCAAGATTATATTACAGCAGAGTCAATATACTAGAAAGTTTCATCAAGAGGAATCAGCACACTGAGTTTCAAACATAAAGTCATAAGTAATCAGCACTTCGTAAAAATGAAAGCATTGACTGACCAGCCTTTCCACAGTCATAATATGCTAATAACTTGATTATGATAAATGCATGTTCAATATAAAAACAACATGCATCACCTGTATGAGTAGCTCAGTCTTAAGCCGTCTACTTGCTTCATGCTCACTGCGTGCCTCACCACGCTGACTAATGATTGCATCGATTTCATCAAGAAATATTGTTGAGGGTGCATGATGCCGAGCTAACTCAAATAACACCCTCACCAGCTTCTCTGAATCACCTGCAATCCAAGATAAACTTTATAAATAGGAAGTTTATCTTTAGCAAATCATAGTATAGCAAAACAGAAATAACATTTATTTGAAAAGCCACTTTCTTTCAAGTATAATGGGTGACGGTAAGATAAATCAGCAATGAAAAAAAAACTAGGCAAGAATCCATATACTTGTAGATTGGTTTCATCACTTAATGGGCAACGTGGAGGAAGAACAAACTTGCTTTAATTGATGCCTCATACAAATTATCCTCTAATCACATACAAGACATAAAGAATCCCTTGGAGAAGGAAAAAAAAAAAAAAGGAAAAGAAGAGAAATATCATTGAAGCATGCCTCGCCACTTGCTGACAACAGATGATGCTGAAATATTAAAAAATGTAGTCTTGCACTCTGTTGCAACTGCCTTTGCAAGCATTGTCTGCAATATTCATACCGAAATTTCTACTTAGTAATTCATAATACAAAATAAAAGAATTAGCGCTTTAAATTATAAAAACTGATCTTTCCTTCTTGACTATTATTTTTTATTTGGCCAGCCAATGAGGAGTGAGACATAAGCCTCTGCTTATTTTAAATATTGAACAAACCTTTCCAGTTCCAGGAGGGCCAAACAAAAGAATCCCTTTCCACGGTGATAATAAACCAGTGAAGTACCTACACAAAGGAGGAAGAACACATTGACTATGAGAAACAAATTTTGTATTACATCTTAGCATTGGACATGCTGATGGTTAGTTAAATCCATCAGTTTAGCATTTATATGAATTATATTCAAATGCCAATGTAATAATAGTGATCTCTAGCATTTCTGTAGATGAATATTTTAGTTTCTCCTTGAACTCAGGATCTTAAAATTTTCACAGAAGTGAAAGACAATGCCTGTAAATTTGTAATCACAGTCATTCCCTTCGTCCTTTTTTGGCTTCTTTGAGTATTAGCCTCCAAGTCCACGACGGATAAATCAGACATTTTTGCCTTCTTTGATTCAAGGACTTTTAGATGCAAGAGAATCTTTCAAGCAAATGATAAATTAAGAGAAAGAAAAAAGTACAAAGGTGGAGACCGAAAGAAAACATAGGGGCGGGGGGAATTGGAACTACAGCTCATAAGGGCTCTCCATTTCTTTGGCCTGCAAGAGAAATGCCCCTGGAAACGCTATAAATCATTCATAAAAGTAAATAATTCCCTCTCTGCTCCTGAATGTAGAAGTTAGATGACTAATTTATGTAGATTAAGAAAATTAGTTAAATTAATTATTTGTAAAGAAGTGTGTTGTTATTCCTAAAATCCTCTTTCTTTTAATCGTTTAAATTGGAAACTAATCAAAAGGGATAGTTTGGCCCAAAAAAAAAAAGTGACAAACAAGAAGTATTACATTTAAGACAATAGTTGTCTAGCTCCAACATTTAGGACTAGAGAGAGTAGTGATAATTGTTTCTTTTCTAACTGAGAAAGGAATTTTAGGCCAAGAATCTATGCCCATAAGAGTTGCGAGGAGACAGACTTCTGACTAGAGATGCTGGCATAGGGCTCTGCGTGGAGACACCATAATCCATACAAGGGGGCACAGTTTCAGAGTATCTCACTATCTAGTCAGTAAAGCCTAAACCAATAAGAAAAGATATTATCATGATTTGGATAATAGAGAAAAACTTTGACTGCTCACACTTTCCACTTTTCTGGATGTTCTAACCTAGGAAACATACTCAACTTTGAGGAAAGAAGCAATGGAGAAGTTGTGATTGTCCGAGGACATATCAACAGGACAATTTGTTCTTTAAAACCACAAAAGTTACTCAAGAGGGGGAAAAAAATACAGAAGGCTCTATTCATTTGATATTGAAAAGGAAAATAAACTTTTTAAGTTACTTAATAATATATTGGGACTTAAAACCTTTCATACAGAAGATATTCCAGCTAGTTTCAGAACAGTTGACCTCATGAATCATAAATTCCAAGGGGGACTAAGTTTTTTTTTTCCCTTTGGGAGAAAAAAGTGTGCGTTTGCAACCATAAAAAATTCAGAAAAGCTAAATATTGTAGAAGTTGAAACGCAAGCAAGAAAGAGGCTATTATAATCTTACACCAAAAGCTGTTTTGGGCTTTAACAAGAAACCCATTCGAACAGCAAGATGATACATTATTTTACACGCACCTAGATTAGAACAAAATGAACCTTAATGTTTGTAGTATCATCATTGCCAACTCGCAAAGTCAAAATGCAAAACTGAAATATCCATGCTCCATGATTAACAAGACTTGAATCATCCAACATGATGATCAGATCTGTAACATTACCATATACTGATCATTGATATACAAGAGTAGCTTCACAAGAGGTCAGTTTCCCAAAAAAGAAAAACTAACAGCTATAATATACATGCATACGTACATATACATATACATATGCTAACCCTATCTTGTATTTAATAATGGAACTTACTTGGGATACTTAATTGGCATCACAACTGCCTCTTTCAGTAGACGTTTGGCATTTTCTAACCCCTTGATGCTTTCCCATTTAACATCTGGGCTCCCACGAATAATATCCCTATAGATGGTACGAATGTATGATGTGAGACGTTATACATAAATGCAGATAAATCTGGAAAAATTAAAACAATAGATGACAATCTTGGTCAAGAAACATGTGATTTCCTCAGTGTAAGTTATTTGTGCATTGCAAGAGGAAGAGAGGAGAAACTTTACCTACATAAACTCTCTCCTAAAGCACGCATATCAGCTGATTCAAAAGGGGGAAGTAAGGGCTTTTGCCTGAAAATGTGAAGTGACACTTATCAGTGGAGACATCGAATGCTAGCATCCATTGTACCTTAGGTAACTTAAAAGATGATACCCCTAATAGGAGAAGTCATGATGATAATTTGTAGTCTTACTCTTTGAATTATTATAAACCATCACAGAATTACAGATGATAACTTGTAGTTTCATTGCGCAAATGACACAGAACATTCCAGTTAACTGATCATACAAATTTTCAATCACAACAGGAACACCTAAAATAAACAAGATACTAAATTACAAAACTAAGTAGCTTGTTTGACAGATATCTCACTCTCATTAACACCATGTGGCTTTTGTAGCCAATGTTTGAAAAAATCAATAATGCTGATTTTTCTTTTTCAAAAATTCTGAGACTCATGAATTGTATTCTAAATCATATGTGGGGCAAAGACTAGCAAATTTAGGACATGCTAGGCCCAGAGGCTTGCCAAGTAAGGTTTGTCACGAACACAGAGTTTGAGGGCGTACACCATAACAATTAAAGAACAACAGTACTAGCAGCTACACAGTCAATCAACAACTAACGAAAAATCAACAGAAAGCATGTGCATATTTATTTCATGATTAGATATTCAATATCAATCCTAATTTGAAACATGACTCAAATTTCGTTGCCTTTTTAACTTGAATAATTCTTATATGCATTAAATATGTACATGTGCATTACACAGCACAAAATATAAAGTAATGGATGAGAGAATCATACGGCCTTTCATCCAGATGATTTGATGAAAATCCATTCGAATGAGTTGAGTTCTGCCCCTAAAACACAGAAAGTAGAGCTCAAACAAGAACAGACAGTAAAATTTAAAGATATCAATGAGCAGTACACAGAAAATGTGTTGTATCACCGCATCAAACACCTACGAAGCGTCGATAATAAAAGAAAAGAGAGGTATCTTTCTGACACACATTGGACATTCAATAGATACAAAGTCAGTGTCAGTATCAATGCTTTCAAGTCGGAGAAAGTACCTGGCTTTGAAACTGTTCAAAGATAGTCGTCTCCGTAGTCCTTTTGGCATGATTGTCGCCATTAGACATAGCACCCGAAGAATTCCCGTTATCGACCGGCATATCTACCGTCTCGCCGTTCTCCAACATTTTCTTCGCACCATAAGACTGGCGGAAGTCCTAAATGTACAGAATAAACAATAGAGTAAATAAATGGAGAATAGTCGGCACAGTCCAACCCTACAGTTCCACTGTTCAAGATTAGCTAGTTACAAAATCCCGATCGACACATATAAAAGATTAAACAAACACAAGAAAAAGAGTGAACCATATCCGTCCATGAAAAATGCTCCAGAAAAGTCAAGATGACAATAAATGAAATTAACGAAAATCAATCCAATCAACAAGACCATCTCCATTTGCATGACAAGTAAAGGCAAGAAGACAAAAATTGATCCTAGCTCAACTGCATTCAAGGTTTCTGACCATTAGTCGTACTGCTAGATCGGGAAAATGTAGCCGAAAGGTTGCAACTAAAGAAACAACAAGTTCAAATCGGACGCTAAGCGTGGTTCGAGTGTGGCGAATTTGTATGTGAAATTTTCTCGGGAAACAAGTAGAAAAGTAAGAGGAAAAAGTCCAAACCAGGAAAGACCAGCAAGTAGTATTGGATTCATCGGCCATTTCCTGAGATGTAGGAGAAATCAGAGAAAGAGGCTCTCAGTCCTGAAGCAGCGATTCACCAGGAGCCACTCTGTCAACTGAAATGAGAACAGGGAAGAAACGATCAGAGAAGAATAAAAGGCCCATCCACGTTGGATCCCTTGTATTCTAAATTAAATTATTTAAATTGAACTGAATAATTGAAAAGGACGTAGCTCGATTGATTTAAAGATCTTAATTATCTAAGCTTGAATTGAAAAATAAGATAAATGTGTGAATATTGTTTAATAAAATCTAGTTGGTTACCTGAAAAAGGAACGAAGGGGATGAAAAGAAACAATACAATATCTATTATATTTTCTTAATTATTATCCATTCCATCTTTGTAAGAAGATCTTTTACATTCATTATAATTAATTTATTTATTTAGTTTTTTTTAATTTACTAAATTAGTTAAATAGCTCTTTTGTTAAAGATCAAAGAAAATATAATATGTTTTTTCTAAACCATTAGCTTTTCGCCTCGTATCTCTAACCAAATATAAAACTTCCTATTAATTAACCAAATTCATCTAACAAACAAGTTTTATGGGGGATAATTTTTATATAGTACCAGAAATAATTAAATTTTTTTGACAAATGAAATAATTAATTTTAACTAAATTAATTGAGTTAATACTACCTCCGCTTCTTACTATAAGATCTTATTTGACTTTTATTTTGGTTTTAAATATAAAACGCTAATCTACGTTGTCTCTTATATTTATGCTCTTTTTTTTAAGAAAGTCCTTCTAATAATAGTTCTAATCAATACACTTGATTAGCTAGGATATTTTAGAAAGACAATATATATTCATTACAAATAACTAAATTAACTTGTTTCTTTAATCTTCTCAAATTAGTCAACTAGCTCTTATAATTAGGATAGAAGGTAATATAATCTTTGGTCCCTCAAATTTGCTCTCATTTTGGTTTTACTCTTAAATTTTAAACTATAGGTTTTAGTCTTTCAAGAAATAAAATTATCCAAATTTTTATTAAATTATAGGATCAATGTTTTGGATGAAAAAAAACTAAATAGACTAAAACTTATGATTTGAAACTTTAGGGACCAAACGAAAACGAGAATAAATTTCAAGAACAAAAAATTATATTAATCCAAATTAATTTGTGTAAAATTGTTATTAGGTGGTTATAATAAGCAATGGAGGGAAGCGAGTATTTAATTGTTTCTCCTCTTTTTATATGTTAATAAAAAAATGTTTGCGGATCTTGCGCTTTGTCCGCAATCCAAAAAAATAAATCCCAAACTCATGAATGGTTCAGCGTGTTATTATTTTTATATATATATGCACGTAAAGATGTGGAAATCAGATTGGTGGAAAAGATATAGGAAAATTATTATCAGGTTCCAAATAAATAATAGTATAAAATTAATCACCATAAAATCCTAAGTAACGTGAAATTTCTTTTTTGGGTCATTTCTTATGCTTTATTATGAAACTTTTTGATAATTAAATTTATCCACCGAGAGCACATAGCAATTTAGTTAAAAAAATATTTAATAGATTTATAAATTCTAAATTAATATATTTGCTTTATTTTATTCACATTTATTTGATAAAGAAATGTCTTGTATCTTGATCGTGATTTTACTGTTCATGTTTCAATCAAAAGGATGCACATTGAAACAAAATTAATCGAAACGAACATTTATTTAAAATCGTATTAATTGGAAAATCATACGCATACACATACTAGTACTCTAACAGTATAGATAACATTCAAATATCGACAAATACAATTACATCAACAAAAGTGCTGATGCCAATGCCAATTAATTAAAACAAGGAAATTTAAAATTTAAAAATAAACAAAAATCTAAAGCAAATTCAATGGAGCTCCAAGGCACGAGCTAATTTCAACTTTTCTTGTTTCTTTCCGTAACTGTGTATGTAACAACAAAATTGCCGTCGGAATTGCTACGTATGAAAAAGTGTAGAAAAGGGGGTATTTGTTCTTTGTACATCTATGGGGGAAATAAATAGAAAAAGAAATGAAAGGATAAATTTGAATAATCATTTCACTCAGGACAAAGATAAAACTTTTGACACCTATATGGCCTACGCACGTTATCCTATACCTCTTTCATTGAAACACGGCAGAAAAATGAATGCTGTTCAGACTCTAGACAAGTTCTGATATGCTCACCCTTTTAGTCATTTGGATCCATTTCCTCATCTTGCTCCCAGATCAGAGTGAGATTGGTTTTGCCATTTTTATCAGATTCAGGTTCTTCAACAAAATCATTACTCTCATAATCTGGCAATGCATTGTCTTCCACTGTAACCCCTTCTGTACCTGAACCTGCTTGACTAGCATGCTTCTTATCCACTTAGGGCACTCTTCTTCGTCTCCAAATAGGAACCGACCATCCTTACTTTTGACAGGCGTGGCTGAGGAAGTTAGTCTACAAGAGCATTCTGGAAGAGGATGTGAAAGAAACATTGCTGGTTTTGAACGGAGAGATTGCCTTATGAGGCCTTCTTCGCCCAGGCTGTTGTTTAGGTGTGGTTGTACTAGAACTGTCCAATTATGTCTGGGATGGTAGATATTGTCACGGGTGACGTTGAAAAGTTCCGCCAAAATTTTCCTGGGAAACATACCAAGGTAATGTGACACAACAGAGATGTAATAATTGATCAGATCAACAAAGAAATTTCAACAACTGTTACGAGAGTAACATCCATATCTGTCCAAAGAAGAGCATGGTGTGAAGACGTAAATGTAAAGCAGGTAAACATTCATCATTCTCTTCACTTGTAGTGTAGATATGCAAGGAATTTTTAATTATCAATTGACAAAAGTTCAAGAAAAAACCAGACAAGTATGGGTGCTCGTGTAAGGGACAATCATTAACCGTATATATTGCATACAATTGACAAGTATGCCCGCGCGCGCGCGCACAAAAGTGGACACATGTTGTGTTGGTGTATATATGCGAGTGTGCTCAGTATGAGATGAGACTCCACCTCTCTGGAGGGAGCATAACCCCAGCAAGCCGAAAAAAAAAGGAAGGGGTCTGAAGCTATGGCCAATGTGACATAAATTATTTCAGTCAGCGCTAACCTAGTCAATTTTGGTCCATAATAGTTGAAAAATGAGGCAATTGTAATGCATTCAAGGGTACCTCCAATCTATAGTTCCTTCTGGAGGGGATATATTAATTTAATCCCAACTTCCAAGCACAAGTTACCTGTCTGGTCGGTATGTTCTAGAGGAAGCAGATCATAAAGTCGATGTCCCATGACAAGGCTTGAAAAATCTGGCCATCCACTGCCATCATTGTTAAATCCTGGAAAGAAAGCATCTGCTTCTAAAGAAATAATGTAATCGAGCGCATCCCAAATTAATCTGTGAGCTTGCATCCTTAGATCCAAAGGCGCAGGATTGGGCTCTGTTGCAGTCTCGGTAATCCAGCCATACCAGCCTTCTTTTTCATGTTGGTAAATAGGTCTGCGAGTGTGCTCAACGTATGAGATGAGACTCCACCTCTCTGGAGGGAGCATACTACCCCAGCAAGCCGAATAAAAAAGGAAGGGTCCTGAAGCTATGCCAATGTGACATAAATTATTTCAGTCAGCTAACCTAGTCAATTTTGGTTCCATAATAGTTGAAAAATGAGGCAATTGTAATGCCTTCAAGGGTACCTCCAATCTATAGTTCCTTTCTGGAGGGGATATTATTAATTTAATCCCAACTTCCAAGCACAAGTTACCTGTCTGGTCGGTATGTTCTAGAGGAAGCAGATTCATAAAGTCGATGTCCCATGACAAGGCTTGAAAAATCTGGCCATCCACTGCCATCATTGTTAAATCCTGGAAAGAAAGCATCTGCTTCTAAAGAAATAATGTAATCGAGCGCATCCCAAATTAATCTGTGAGCTTGCATCCTTAGATCCAAAGGCGCAGGATTGGGCTCTGTTGCAGTCTCGGTAATCCAGCCATACCAGCCTTCTTTTTCATGTTGGTAAATAGGTCTATCCGGAGGAGGAGGAAGAGGCCGAGGCCGAGGACCAGCCTTCTTCCATTCTTCTTTAAGTTTGTCTGCACTTTTTACAGGAGGTGGTTGGAAAACATTCGGAGGAAGAGGTGCTTCAGGTCCAACCAAGTCAGATAAATCTTTCTCACTGCACAAGGAAGTACGGTCCACTAAGTTGGCAAACATGGCTCGTAGAGGAATTAAAACACGTTGACCTCCAAATGTTTCTGACCCAGCTTGGTAAACAATTGTTCTGGAAGGATAGCCCATTACTCGAAGAAGAATGCCAACCTGCATGCGTTGTTACAACAACAGTAAATCAACATCCCAATAGCACAACTACGAAATGCCAAAAGACAATCTGTTGGTATCCACAAAAAACAGAGTTATTCCCAAAAACAGGATTATTTGTACTTTATTTGTAACAGTAAAATTGCTGGAAAAGGAATGAGTAACTTCTGCAGGTGTTTTAACAAAATTGGACAGATTTACTTGTACTTCATTTGTGACAGTTAAATTCCTGGAAAAAGGAATAAGTAACTTTCTGCAGGAGTTTTAACAACAATGGACACATTTAAGCACACGAATCAGTGAGACAGAAGGAATTCCCACATCATTTGCGGTGGTATCTTTTTTTCCCTGGTTCTTCACAAAATATGTAAAAGCAAAAATACAAAAAGAAAGATAGAAAGAAAGCTAACTCCCTAACCTTTTCTGATTCCAAATCTTGTCCTCATATATTACATGATGGACTAGAATCAGAGACTTCACATGAACTGTGCACATACTTGATTGGGTAATTAAACTAGGTCAGAGATTAGATTATGCATTTTGATATACCTCATGAAAGAGTGCATGTTAGAATTGATGAAAGCCTAGGCATCATGACATTAAGATCAAGCACATGATATTAGATGAAATTTTTTAGAAGATTAGCAACTTTAGAATACCTCTTCAGGCGTAAGAGGACATAAACCTTTATCCCTTTGCAAGTGTGAATCAATATTCAATTCCTCATTAACGATTCTCTCTTTCTTCATCTGAGCCCTTCGATGCTGGATGAGTTCAGTGTGGACATCCTAACATACAGAATGTTAATAAGATAATCAGAAAACATGGTAAGAAGCTGAGTATAGATGATCAAACTTATGAAATATCATTCTAGTAATGCCCTCTAAAACTTGGAACTAACGCATGCATATCAGTGTGGCAATATAGCCCCATCATTCCCAGGCCATACGAAAGAGAAAACATTTAAAAAGAAAGAAAAAAACCTGAAAGAGTTCTGCACAACCATGATAGGCCAAGATGTCTCTCAGTAAACCAGGATGGAACACTAAGAAGGGCTGCCCCAATGCTCTTAACCTTCAAAAGACAGTACAAATCTCTTAGACATTAAATGAAGTAAAGATCTGTGATGGATGGGATGACATGAGAACCACATAAAATCTCAATGGGATGGCATTAGTGACAACATCCTTATTGTTTGGGATCATACAAATACAAAGCATCAGAAACATAAATGCAAAAACAAAAGATATTGAACCGAGCACAGATAAAAAAGGGAGGCTTCTACTTTTACATGTTAATATAGCAAATGGCCATTAATTTGTCAACTGAAAGGCATGCCTACTTGTTAACCATTTGTTGGCCAACAATTTTAATTTCAGGCCGAAATTGGAGTGCGTGGAAGGCAACCCTGCATCTTAGCCTCTGAATCTCTGACAAGCTAGGTGGAAGAATTGATGCTGCAAAAGAGGATGCAAATAGGTCTCAGGCCAACTATAGTATCTTGGTGAATGAAAAAAGTCACAGCCAAAAAAGCATGAAGATCAAAATTCTACTATCCAAAGCACGTTAAAGAAGATGCCTTTGAAATTAGAAAATACACTTTAATGTACCATCTGAAAGGAGGGAAAATAGCAAGGGGAGGTTAGCCCTTGCTTAAAAAGGTGAGTCACTTAAAAAGCAACTTCTATAACTTTCTTTTCCTTCAGTATTTTCAGGGGTCAAAATGTGTTTTCAAGTCCAAATAAGGAATGAATTACTGAAAAGCCTAGGCATCATGATATTAAGGTCAAGCAAATGATATTAATTCAAATTAATCCCTTCCTCAGTCCATTTGTCAATCACGCGACATGCATGGCAATTCGTTAGCAAAAAAGTCAGCTATAACCGATTAAGCACACTAAAAATAGGACAAACCACAATAATCTAATCTCAAGACTCAAGTAAAGGTTAGTGCAAAACTTCCAAGATCTAAAGGGAATCCAAAGATGCAAAATCTGACTGAATTGCCGCCATATGGAAAGTATTTGGTACTGGTGTTAGAAGAGAAGAAGAGAAGAAGAAACAAAAGGCAGGTTCTTATTGAAGCAAGCAACACAATATTCAAGACAGAAACTAAAGTTTAAACATAAATTGATGGTTTCAGAAAATGAAATACCTGCAGACAGCCACCAGCAGAAACTATAAAGCCAATAACCTTTGATTTCTTTAGCTTTGGTAAAACTTCTTCCATGTAGAAGTTCGGAGAAGTTGAACTTTTGAGCTTGAATGTTGGAACTTCATTTCTTTCCTCCTCTCCTTTAAATTGTCGGGCAGAGTCTTCAAAATGATTATATCATTTTTCAGGTATGTTATGAACTGCTCCTCACTATAGATGTAGGAAAAACTCTTGAACTTTGAGCTGAATGAAATGTTAAAAGCACACGTAAATACATATACGTATATATTTTAAGCAAAAGAATGGGGGAATATTTAATAACATAGCAAAAGAAGCTCAATTTTTGACAGAGACTTTCAAGATCGTGCAGCAACCACCAATGGGTTGTATCCCACTTTTGAGAGCGGACTCCCCGCAGGCAACTCCGTTTTGGAGTGATTAATTTGTTATAATTTCAAGACTTTGATCTTGCCATCTGATTTGGAAAAAAAAGAGGGCACAAATGCATACAAATTACTCCTGAAACCTCAGGACACATACCTAATGCCTTTTGATTGAGTACTTTGCTGAATTTCTGGGATGACAAGGGTAGCATTTAAAAGCCTGGATATTGCGACCAGATCACAGATCTGTAAAATCAACAAATTTTATAGACTTAGTATCAAATAAAAACATTTTTTAGAAAAAAAACAATGTATGTGATGAATCATACCGAAGATCTTATTTGTGCAAACCCACCAAAAACTTTCGCATAAATGAAACCATTGTTCTGCTCCTTGGAACTGTAAAGCATAGGAACAATCACTTCAAAACAAAAATATAAAGCATGAAATTCAAAGGAAAGGAATATTGTTGTTATGACAACAGGAAGTACAATTACACTTGAAGATTGTCAAAGATGAAAAGCCATTAAAGAATATTATCACAACTTATATTCTTGGACAACCAGAGAAGCCTCAATTTACAATCATAAGCATGCATCAATTTCTATACTTCTCCAGTTGTATTGATAAGAAAAAATGGAATTGAATGATGAAGTAGGGTTTCCAAAAATCTATTTACTAAGTAGCATCTAAACCTAAAAATTTGAGAATGTAACTTCATTTTCTAACTGGCAGCTTATTTTTGCCAGTAGGAAAAAGGCATAATACTATAGAAGTTTTACCCTTAAAAAAATCTATGTGACATGCCTACTCAACTGCAAATTATGTTGCACACTTTCAGACCTATGACGTCTCTATAATGAACTGCAAATTATTTTGAGCAGTAATATTACCAGAATAGCTGCTTCTAGGGTTGACGTAAGGCTGCAAAGTTTCCAAAGACTCTATGGCACCCCATAGCTTCTTATTCTTTATAACCTATATAATCCCAAGCAAATTATGCTAAAATGTTAAAAAATAAAGTGAAAAACAGGATGCATGAACTTTCAACACGATCAAGTATATTAAAGTGAAAAACAGGATGCATGCACTTTCAACACGATCAAGTATATCTAAAATCACCTGTCTGCCCAATTTGGAAGCGAAATCCTCAGGAAGACCAGTCATTGCTCCATACTGCAATATGCTAACAGTCCAAAATTTTGCTAAGGAGAGATGAATGATGATGGATGCCACAGATAAAGTGATTACAGAAAGAATGACCCATTTTATCTTAGTAACGATTGCCATCTTGGCTAGGTCACTCTACACCAATCCAGCACCAAATGAAGTTGATTTTAGCCGCACCATCTACAGAAAAGTGTACTTTCTGAATGAATTATATAGTTCAATGCTAATATTGGAAAAGTAATATATTGTATATCTAGAATAAATTCTTTCTATGGACTTTGACCCATTTATCTACTTTTGCATAATCCTTTCTTTGATTTTTATTCCATCCTTGAATGCCCAACTTTAATCTGTGTCATGCTTACCAAAAGCCGTTTGGGTTAAACACAGATTTTGCTTATTTAGCATCACATGCCATATTGATAGAAACCAACTGTATGTGAAGGAAACAACAATAATGTAGCTCTTAAATGATTAAAAGATTTGATTAAAAATCCTGTTGTCTGATCCAGAATACAACAACAGTGCTATGCCAAAGGAGGGCAGCCTGAGGCTTCTCGTCTGTTTGTTGTAATGAACTTCGTCAACATCACATGCAAGAAAAGTAGAAGGGGAAAAAGAAAAGCTTGACAATAACTTTCAAGCTAAGAGCAATCCGCAATTGATGGATGAACAACTTGCTTGATATATAAACGAAAAGTAAATGATATTTCAAGAAAAATGTTTTGGCTCAATTCAATATCAGAAAAATAAAACGATATAACAAACTAGAAATTCACCAAATGACCAAACTTCCAAACATAGTATGTGCTGGAAAACTCATGAGCACGTTACAGTAATTAAATTCTACAGTCTGGGTCTAGAATTGATGAAGAGAAATAGGAGAAAGCAGAAGAAAACAAAACCCTTCCTTCCACTAAACCCCTCTCTTCTTAATTCTGATCCTATAAAACCAACCTCTAAATCCATAGTGAGCACAAAATGGGGTAGTAAAAACTAAATAAGGAAGTTGACAAGCAAACTCATACACCCCAAATCAGGATAGGATCTCATAAATGAATTCAATATTGACCTTCATGTATGGTTAAACTTGAATCTCAAAATTTACAATCAAAATCATATATACCCAAATGGATTCAAGATATTCTCAAGCTGTTCATGTACAATGAAAAGATGGCAGATCCAACAACGAATAGTAAATTCATCTCACACAGGCATAGGCAGACCAATGTTACACCCAGTCAGGGCATCTGCCCCCGATGAAATCTTTGAAATATGAATAGTTGATTTCATGCCCTTTTAATTTCTGTTCCAGATACTTCAATGAAGATGCCTTAGTAATAGTAAGCCAATTGACTCGGGCAACTTCTCCAAGGCACTGAAGAATGACGATGATAACACTACTGCAATTTATGATCGTGTGAAAAGTGTTTCTGTCAATAGCTTCTAAATTTACAGACCAATGAGCAGCGGGAAATGATTTAAACTCAAGCTCCTCAATTGCCAGACACAAATGGAGCTAAGTCATTTGCCAGATCATGCAGCAAAAATACCTTGAGAATTTTCTAGATTGATGATAATATGAAGAGATTGATAAACAGCATGCCAATACGGAAAAAATCCAGCATTGCACAACAACACAATCCAAAGCATATAAGTCCCTAGTAATCAAAAGGAAGAGGGCAGAAGTATTAAAACCAATTCCACACCATATAAGCAAAAACTAGTAATCAAAGTCTAAAAGAATTAAACTCAGCGTGCGACTAATCCCAGATTCAAAAGCGTCAATATTCAAACGATTGCATGACCGGATTCAAAGCCAAATTAAAATGAAACATCCAAAACAAAGAAAGAAATGGTGGGACGGCGTCCGACACAGTGTTGACAACCACGCAGGAAACAGATGATGCGGGGAACAAATTCAAATCTAGTATCAAAGCCAGATTGAACAAATCAGTCTCACCTGATTTTGGGAGAAGACAAAGCCCTTGGGTTCGAAGTTCGAACCTTGTTCAATACTTGCCGGAGAACAACCACGCAGGGCTGACAGCGGTGGGCTGCGGCCGACGGCGAGCTCAACCAAGTGTAGAATGCGTGTTCGTCGACGAAGAAAAATGGATCTGCTTCTTCCAGCAGACGACATTGTGTTTTGTTCGGGTTATAATTATTTTTTATTAATTCTTTTCAATTTCTTAATTTTGTATAATCATTCTACCTGTGAATTCCACTGTTAGATCAAATATATTACCTTTTTATTAGATGGCAAAAAAAAAAAAAAGTGAAATGAAGCAATGTTGTCTTATTTATACTACTATGACTTTTTTTTATAGATGTTTAAATTATATTTCCGAGACTCCTTAAAACATTATACTACCTCCGATCCTTAATATAAGATCTTATTTGATTTTTATTTGGTTCTAAATATAAGATCTCAATTTATTTTGTCTCCCATATTTATGTATTTTTTCCCAAAGTAGTCCTTCTAACAATAGTAATTCTAACCAATATATTGATTAACAAGGATATTTTAAGAAAGACAATACCTATTTGTTATAAATAACTAATTTAACTTCTTTCCTTAATCTTCTCAAATTAGTCAATTAGCTCTTATAATTAGAACTAGAGGTAGTACTATTTAAATAAGAACATTAATTTACCCCTACCTCACTTCACCCTTCTCAAGTCTTAATTTTTTTTTTGGGCATACTTCTCAAGTCTTAATTGGAAAATAAACAAATGCCTATTCAAGATAAAAAAACATATAACTGAAAACTATTTATTAAGATATTACTAATTTATATAGAGATTTCAATAGGAAAAATAACAGAAAATTGACAAATAAACTCCATAATGCCAAAGACATCTCCTGAATTTGAGAAATCCTAATTTAGTCCTAAATGACTAATTTGGTATTTATAATTTTGCTGGGCAGTCACCGGAGTTCTGACGACCGGCCGACAATTGGTCACCAGTGCTCCAGCGGTCAAAAACAAGTTTTCTGAAAATTTTTACAATTTTAGTATAATGGTTAACAACTTTTGTAACGCTATTAACAACTTCAATACAGTAGTTAAAAACATATCTTTTGGGAAACTCAACAATTGGTTGCCGAAGCTCTGGCGGTTGGAAACAATTTTTCTCAAAATTTTTACAACTTTAGTATAACAGTTAACAATTTTTGTAACGCTTTAACAACTTCAGTATAGCAGTTAATAACAAGTTTTGCGGGAAATTTAACAATTTCCGACAGCCAGAAACAATTTTTTTAATAAAAGTTTTACAACTTCAATATAGCAGTTAACAACTTTTGTAACACTATTAATAACTTTAGTATTATAGCCACTAACAACAGGTTTTTGAGTTTGTTAACAGTATTACTGAAGTTGTAAAAATGCTACTTTTTGAATTTCCAGAAAAACGTGTTGTTAACTGTTATACTAAACTTTTATTAACCGTTATACTGAAGTTGTAAAAATTTTAAAAAGAAAGTAGTTGTTAAAGTTGTAAAAATGCCAATTGTTGAACTTTTAAGAAACCTGTTGTTAAATGCTATACCAAAATTGTTAATAGAGTTACAGAACTTGTTAACGGCATCACTGAAATTGTAAAAATACTAATTTTTGAATTTCTCAAAAAGTTGTTAACTACTATACTGAAGTTGTAAAAATTTTCAAAAAATTGTTTTTTGCCTCTGGAACTCCGACGACTAATTGTTGAATTTTCCAAAAAACATGTTGTTACTTATTATACTGAAGTTGTTAATAGAGTTACAAAAATTGTTAACCATTATACGAAATTGTAAAAAATTTTAAAAAAATTGTTTCTGACCGCTAAAGCTTCGACAACCAATTTTGAATTTCTCGAAAAATCTATTGTTAACTGCTATACTGAAGTTATTAATAACATTATAAAAATTGTTAACCGTTATACTGAAGTTGTAAAAATTTTCAAAAAAAAAATTGTTTCCAACCGTTGGAGCTCCGGCTACAATTGTCTGTTGGAGCTCCAGTGACTACCGCCACCGCCACTGCTGCCACTGGAGCTCCGGTGATTGGTTAGCCAGTAGGGGTGTTGGTTTTTTAAAAATAATGAATAAAATGAAGGACAATATGATCATTTCAGCAAATTTATAAATGCCAAATTATTCACTTGTGACTAAATTAGGATTTTTCAAATTCAGGATATGTTTTTGGCATTATGAAGTTTATTTGTCATTTTTCTGTCATTTTCCATTTCAATATTTAATTACAGGAAAAATAGTAAAAAAAGACTGTCTAAATAAAAAAATGACAAATAAGGACCCATGACAATATTAATATGAGTTTTGACAATAATTTTTATAAATCGGCTCCTGTCTGTAATTTTTCTATTTCAAGATTTTTTTTTACTATTTCCCCTTCATTATATCTATTTATTAATATTATACGTGTATGTTCTGATGTATTACCGTCACTTGTGTAAAGTTGCTTCAACTAGTAATAGAGAAGGGCTTTCTTTGGACAAGTAAGCGTTTCAGCCTTTCAAGCTTCAACTAGTAATAGAGAAGGGCTTTCTTTGGACAAGTAAGCGTTTCAGCCTTTCAAGTTTGCCTCTGGCAAGATTCTGGACATTTGTTAGAGTTTCAGGACAAGATTATGAAAAGAATTAATTAAGTTAGTTATTTATTACAAATGTGTGTTCATCTTTTTAAACTATCTTTTTTTTTAATTATATTCATTGGATACCTTTTGGTGGTAACTTTTTACAATCGATACTTTAAGAAAAATATGAGATAAAATAAATTGAGGTTTTATATTTAAAATTAAATTTAATCTCGCAACTAACTCTTATATTAAAGTCCAAAGATAATATTGTCTTTTTTTCCTTGAATTTTATATTGTCTTATTAAACGTTACAAAACAACAAATTATATTTCAAAATTAAATTTTTAAACGACTTAAAAAAATCAATATTCATGTAGAATAATAATAATTCATCCTCAGTTCTCTTTAAAAACATATCAACAAATTAAAAATCCGTGCCAGGCCATTATCCTTTGTCATGATTCTCCAATAGAAGAAAGTAGACCCACTTGGCAAACACGAAAACATCGCATGAGATAATTCAGCGTTTCTTGTCAAATTTAGTTTTCATACATCACTTATGAATATAATTTTGAGCTTAAAGAAACTAATAATAGTCCAAAATACTACAAAGTCTTGAAATTTGAATTCTTTATTTTTCGAGTGAATGAAATTTCAATTCTTTAGTCATAACTCATAAGTAATGATGTTATAATTTTGAAAATATTATGTTCTCATGTAATAAATATTAAACATGAAATGATGTTGTATTTATCTTGTTAAAAGTTAATATCTATTAATTGCATACAATTAAATTGATATTTTATAAAAAGAAATGTGAGTTTCTAAACATGCACGTTTATTTTTAAATAATTTACTTTATAAGCATTCTTATATTTAATAATTGATTCTTTTGTAACTAAGGATTACAGATTACAGATTACTTTCCAGTATATATTTTTTTAACATTGATAAAAATATGTGTGAATCTTTTTTTTCTCGCTGAATTAATTCTTATACCTCATAAGGAAAAATTAGCCTATAAGATTAATTAACCATATAAACCTAAGCATCAAACACATAAGATTCCTTTCATTTCACATATATGGCGTGCTTAAACTGTCAAAATATTATATATGGACTACACGTCACGACTCACGACTCATTGTGTGTGTGTAAGTATTGTTAATACAATATATTAATTGTGTTCGTATATAGTATTATGTCATGCAAGTAACTAGTCAATCTTTCTGTGCGTTTGGTCAAAAAAAAAAAAACTTTCGGGTGTGTGTGTGTAAATGGGCATCCTTTTCTTGAAAAATTATATAACCCCACCCTTACATATATATATAAATATATATTTATATATATGTTGATCTTGATATTTTGGTCTTAAATATAGAAGGTACCTAGGAGATTTATTTTGATATTAAATATAAGAATTCAATTTATTTTATTCCTTGAATTTATAATTTTCCTCAAACTACCCATGTTGATTGCATATGTTAAGAAAGTTTTCATTAAGGTATAATTCCAATGTTGATAATTAAAAAGGGTATTTTAAAAAAAATCACAATTATTTAATAAATAATCAACTTAACTGATTTTTTTAATATCTATAAATTAATTGTTCAGCTCCTATATGAGATATCACAAGGAGTAAATGGATAAAATCAAAAACAAATTATCCAAGTAGGGTTTCAAATAGGAAAATAATCAGCCAAGTCCTAATCAAACACAAATCATCATTTTTACTCTAACCTTTTTAATTTTATTGAAAATATCTTATTTTATTTCATTTGCATTTTCAATACTCAAAAGAAGTTATATATAAATTAAATCTGACCAATCTGGATCAATTAATTACCTAATAAAAATATTATAAGATCATCAAAAACTCTCTCAACAAGTATTTAACAAAGCTACATCTTCAGAGCTCAGAAATAGATGCGTGTAAGCGCATCTAGAGGTGGTGATAAAACGTTCAATGAACATAGAAACCAATGAAAAAAAAGGATGATATTTTCAATGTGTGCGTGGGGCTCTAATTTCGTACGTAGTGTGAGTAGACATTATTATTATTATTATTATTATTATTATGGAAAATCAAATTCCTGGCTTTATACCAAGCAACCTAAGATTATTGCTTTATAAAGCTAAGCATAACAATACTTAGCCTACACCGTGTGTGAACGCCTACGGTGCTCATAACAATTAGTATGCTTCTAATAAAGATTTGTATACTTATTCGTCTTTGAAATTAAATAAAAGCCCTTCAATTTTTCAAGCTTATCATGGTGCTATCCTTTGCATGCGTTATCCTCTACTCACCATTAAAAGTTAGAGGTTCAATCATTTCATTCTCTTTCTCCCTGTTTCAGTCAACTTCTTTAAATTGATCCTCTTCATAATTTTAATTTTTCCTCAATTTGATCGTTAATAATTATGATTTTCTTTTTTTCCTGAAAAAATTAGTCTTTGGTGCTGACCTTTTTATAATTCATTAGTGTTTTAAATTTTGATTATCCTATCGTGTGCTTTTTAGTGCTTTAAATAGTGAGAATTGCAATAAAGTCTTAAAAAA